ATCGTTTCGACAGTATTTTTCCATTATTGATTTACTTAATTTGCAGGCTTTATTTCCGAGATTGCCCTGTATAATATGCAGATTTCGAGCGACGACCAGATTGAAAAGAAAACCAGTTCGCATTGTATGCGACTGATGATTTATGATGTTCTTAAATGAGGGGTTGAAATTTTATATTCTCGATTTTACCCTTTTCTATATGTCGTTGCTCATTTGCATACGCAGATTTAGATTTGTTTTTTTGTCCAGGACCGGACAGAATTCAAACAAATCACTCAGTCAAATGTGCATTTTCTGCAAGTTTCAACAAACATTGGCAGAAACTGTTTCGTTTGAGGGTTTGAGGAAAATTTCCTGAGTGCAAGCTTTCGGGGGAAATAGTTCTGAAGATGCTAATCACTGGTGTTTGCGAAACGTTCGGAATTATTTTTTTCCACCATGACGTTCAAGCCCGAAAAACTTGCCAGTTTCAACCCTTTGGACTGTTTGAAGAGTATTTTTCGTTACGGTTCTGCAAATGCAAACTGCGTTTCCTTCTCGGGCACCGTCCTTTGAATCATACTTTCTGATGATTAAAATTAATCGGGCGATATTTGATTTCAGAATTAGAATTTAGATTTATTAGGTCCATCTGCATGGTCCCGTTGTTTGTTTAGGGAATCTGGGATACGCTTCTGGGACTGTTCTCGTATTGTTCGCCTTTTCGACTATGAAATTCACATTTTTAATTTACGGCTCTGATCTGCTTCTGATCTAAGCGAACTGTTGAACAGCCTTGTTGAAACAAAGGCCAAATTTCAAATAAAAAACCTTAGCAAATAGAATTTCCATTAAAAGAAACATGCAAATTGCTGAGAATCCAAATTTGGCCAGTGACTAATTCCACGAAATATTTAAAAACAATTGCAAACGCTAAGTTCAATTTCATTTTTCAGTGGCGTGCCGCGGTGTTTTCGCAATTTCGGCGATTGGATTGATTATTATTTATGGTTTCGACCGGGACTCATGACCGGGATTTATTGCATAGTTCAAGTATTAATAATAATTGCATTATTATATTGTCAAAGAAAACACGAAAACAACATCGATAATTAAATTTTCCTTTGTTTATGCATATTGCGGCAATTGAATATTAATCGTCGCCCATTACAGTTTCCCCTCACGTTGCGTACGGTTTTTTATGGCGTAAAAGCGTCTCTGCAATAAGTTATAACACTTATTTGTATGAATTTTATATTTTCTATGACCGCAGTCACCGTTCTGTATTTGGACGTTTATCCGTTTTTGCACTGTCGACATTAGCTGAGTTTTTTAAATAAATTTGACTCACTGTAGTTTTCTCTGTGTGGGTTCTCGTGTCGATGAGGGTGAGGAGAGAGACTGAAGGCAGCACCAAATTGGACCCACTTTTATGGGTTTATTAGATTTTTTTCAGCATTTGATGGTAGATACCTTGCCAATTTTGTAAAATTTATTAATTTTTTAAGTCATATAATCTTTTTGATATGCGTTCAGTAGGGATCTACTGCAGATCCAAAAATCCTGACCTGTAACATAACGATATTCAAAAGTGTGGCAAAACTTCGCACCGAATGTGACATAGTAAATTCCCCATAACCCCATAAACGAACAGTTCGGTTCGCTTCTATAAAAGCGTTAATAGGATGAACGCAACTCGCGCCTTTCAAGGAAAAATATTATGAAAATCACGTACAACAAATATCCATAGAAAAAAATAATTTTTTATTAACTATCAAATCGTTTCCGGTGCTTAATAGGCGGCTAAACTGGTGAATAATAATGGATTTCGAACGAAAATGGGGTCATACTGTTTGTTGCTTTTATTTATAAGCGCATACATACCTATGAATGTTAAATTGGCCCGTATTTGTTTATTAAGGGACTGGGCATCAGTGGCGCAGAGTGGAATTGATCTAATTATTTGGTCAATGTGTGCAAAACTTTGTTGGATTTTGTTCGGCATTTTTTGTAGTTTCTCTTGTTGTTTGCTAATTTTCACCCATTTTGAGGCACTGAATATTAAAAAAAAACGACCTGCAGTTTTTCAGAAATTTTCTGTTAAAAGTCAACTTTTCACATGCGGATTTTTTGAGCTTATTGAACTGTCTGCAGCCTATAAAGCTCCTCAATATATCGGATAGATAGAAGATAGAAGCTTCTGCAGTTTTTTAATAAGCTTGTTGCATTCCTCGCTTTATTTCTATGAAAATGATTGAATGAATTGATGAATTTTCTATAAAATTTGAGGCATTTCGAGGTAGTTTATATTTTTACAAAATCGACTTTTCTGATCAAAAGTAAAAACTTCGCGTGGTGATTTTTTGAATCCAATGGATTGTTTGCAACCTAAGAAGTTCCCCAAAATGCGCATGTAAAAATTTTTGGCTCTGTAATGGTGTCGCCAGTTAAAGATTTCAAACGCTTAAAATGGGCAAAAAATCATTTTGCGTCGGAAGCGTCTAGAGTGTTTTTCAATCAACTGGTTGTCTTTCTTTTTTTTTTTGTTGAAAATCATGTGCAATTTGAAGCCTTTCGAGGTATTCAATATTTTTTGAAAAAATCGACCTCATGCCCCGAAATTTCTGATCAAAAATAAAAATTTCTCCTGCGGGTTTTTTGACTCTATTGGATTGTTTCCCACCTGAAAAGCTTTCCAACATGCATATTTGAATGTTTGGATCGAAAATAAGAGAAATACTGTCGATTCAGGATCGTGACTGCTCAAAGACCGCTAAAATTAGGCCAAAATGTGGATTATTTCGCACCTAAAGCTTCTTGAGTGTTTTTCAATAGCTCGTTGTATTTCTCGCTTTCTTTCGATGAAAATTATCTACAATTTGAAGCGTTTTGAGATAATCGATATTTTTTTGAAAAAATCGACCTCATTCCCTGGAAATTTCTGGTCAAAAATAAAAATTTCACCTGCGGGTTTTTTGAGTTCATTAGAGTGGTTCCCACCTGAAAAGCTTCCCAACATGCATATTTAAATGTTTGGATCGAAAATAAGAGAAATACTGTCGGTTCAGGATCGTGACTGCTCAAAGACCGCTTAAATTAGGCCAAAATGTGGATTATTTCGCATCTAAAGATTCTCGATTGTTTTTCAATCAGCTCGTTGCAGTCGTCGCTTCATTGCAGTGAAAAAGATGCAAAATTCGAGAAGTTTTGAGAAATTTTATATTTTTGGACAAAAATCGACTTCAACCCCTTCAAAAATTTTCGATCAAAAATCAAAATTTCACAAACGTGTTTTTTGGGATCAATGGACTGTTTTCGATCTAAGAAGCTCCCCAGTGTGCACATTTAAACGTTTGGATCGAAAATAAGAGAGACACTGTCGGTTCAAGATCCTGACTGCACAAAAACCGCTTAAATTAGGCCAAAAATGTTGACTATTTCGCACCTAAAGCTTCTGGAGGGCTTTCCAATCAGCTCGTTGCATTGGTCGCTTCATTTCAGTGAAAAAGATGCAAAATTCGAGGCGTTTTGAGAAATTTCATATTTTTGGAAAAAATCGATAAAATCTCTTATCCCTTATAAAATCCCTTATCCCTTATACAATTTTCGATCAAAAATCAAAATTTCACAGACGTGTTTTTGGGCTCAATGGACTGTTTTCGACCTAAGAAGCTCCCCAGTATGTACATTTAAATGTTTGGATGGAAAATAAGAGAGACCCTGTCGGTCCAAGGTTTGGACTGCTCAAAAACCGCTTAAATTAGGATAAAAATCTTGACTATTTCGCACCTAAAGCTTCCCGAGTGTTTTCCAATAGCTTGTTGCATTGGTCGCTTCATTTCAGTGAAAAAGGTGTAAAATTCGAGGCGTTTTGAAAAATTTCATATTTTTGTAAAAAACCGACTTCAACCCCTTATAAAATTTTCGATCGAAAATCAAAATTTCTCAAACGTGTTTTTTGTGCTCAATGGACGGTTTTCGACCTAAGAAGCTCCCCAGTATGCATATTTAAATGCTTGGATGGAAAATAAGAGAGACTCTGTCGGTTCAAGATCTTGAATGCGCAAAAACCACTTAAATGAGGCCAAAAATGTTGACTATTTCGCACCTAAAGCTTCTGGAGGGCTTTCCAATCAGCTCGTTGCATTGGTCGCTTCATTTCAGTGAAAAAGATGCAAAATTCGAGGCGTTTTGAGAAATTTCATATTTTTGGAAAAAATCGATTTCAACCCTTTATAAAATTTTCGATCAAAAATGAAGATTTCACAAACGTGTTTGTTGGGCTCAATGGACTGTTTTCGAACTAAGAAGCTTCTCAGTGCTTTGATTGCTCAAAAACCGCTTAAAATGGGCCAAAAATGTGGATTATCTCGCATCTGAAGCTTCTGGAGTGTTTTTCATTCCTCTTTGTATTCCTGGCGACCGATCATTCAAAATGACTCAAAAGTGAAGGAACTTTGAAAGGCTGATTTGCAAAATTCCACCTTTGCCCCTCACGAAATTTTCACATAATTCTCAACTTGCGCTCAATGAAGATGAGTCAATCTTCTCGATGTAAATGAAGTCAGTTTGTCAGCAAAACGTAGTCAAAATTAAGCCAATTTAATCAAAAATTATCCGCTAAAGCCAACCAATAAGGTCTGAATTCGAGACTGAAACCACTTACTTAAACAGGTAGAAGAAAATACATTTTTTGCAATTTCCCCAAAAATTCCCCGTTATCAAGGCTGAGTTCAACTGAAAGAAAAATGCAAAAGCCAAACAGACAAGGTGTGAAACAAACAAATCAAGATGTCGCCACTCGCCACCCCAGATTTTTCCTATTCGAAAAATATTTACGTTTAATCCGCAGGCGAAACGTGGAAACAGCATCAAAACATCAAAAATAGTCGCCCCTCTCCACCCCGCAGAAAGCCCAGCCCCTTGGCGAATCACAGACTCACAATTTTACAGAAATTCCACACACTGAACTAGGGGTGGGGGTAGACGCGTCGTGCACGGCACGCTCGATTTTACAGAATCCGAAAACGACGTCAAACAAGCGAGGAACGCGAGTCGGACGTCGAACGGTCGAATGTTCGTGTCGGTGTTTTCTCAAATTGGCAAATACGAAAGTTTGGGAGAAAAAGACAGTTTTTTTTTCTGGCTGGTTGGTTTATTTGACGGAAATTTAGTGATGGGACGCTTGGTGTGGCACTGTTACTAAACATTCAGTTTTTTTCGCCGATCTGGGAATGTGAATTGCGGCAGGTTTTTCGAAATATTTTGGATTATATTTGTTTGATTTGACTGTGAATGGTGGCGGCCCAAAGCGATTGATTAACGCGAGCACACTAAAAGGTATGCAGCAGTTTCAGACACGAATCTGGGAATTTTGATTAAATCCCCCTTTTAACAGTCTTAGTTTTACCCGGATATCCCAGCCTGCTTTGCTTATAATAAATTCAGTTGCCCTGAATAATAAATTGAAGGAAATTCCAGCGTTTTAAAGGCACAAAACAAATGAGCGATCATTTAAAGCACCCTTTTGCCATAATTGTGAACACACGAAACTGGAAAAATTGAAACCGAGCTACTGCAATGAGCTCATAGTGGAAAAATATACATATTTTTCTCATTTAAAGTGTGTTTTTATGTGGCATTATCCGCTATCTTGTAGTGTTGGGTTTTTGCAATTATTATGCTAATGAAAATCAAGCCTATAATCAATCTAGGGTCGACACTAGAGAGAGAATCACCGGTTGCATGTGGTCGCATATTTTGCATATGCGACAAGCTGCCTTCCAGTCGATATTAATATTCCCGTAAGAAATATATGGTAATCCTTCGTATTCTTAAGAGAAATGTGCCAATCCCTAAACCATATAAATTCTCAATTTATTCAAATTCGGCGAGTGGGTCGCGCAACTCATAACAATGGCTTACGTCCGCCATTATTGTTATTTTACCTTGGACGGTGGAAAATGGCAAATTTTTTTTTTTTATAGAACAAAACTTATTAATGAACCATTGCCAGTGGAAATTCAACAACAAAAATATTCATTAATTGACTTAGGAAATACGGAAAAGTTTTGCTTTTGCAGCCACTATTTCATTAATTATGGGGTTCAAACGGGGTTTGAGTCAACGAAAATTTTGCAATTTTCTCTCTTCAGCAACTTTCGTTTTCTAGTTCGACTGTCGAATGTGCGAAATCACACATTCAAACCAGAGGCAAACGACAAATAACGATCGAAACTCATGTTAGACAGTGCGCGACTTAAACTTTATTTTCTTGTTACAGAAAATTGGTCTATTTTTTGTCATTTTCATTGTCATCTAATTTTATACTCTCATTTCTTATTCAATGTTTTGATTATTATACATTATTATATAGTTTTTGTCCCAAACAAATGGCTTTAACAGGAAATTCATACGAAACTACAAAACAAATTCAAGGCATTTAAAGCAAAAACAATGCTGAAGAACATTTTGGCTCTCAATAGATTATTAAAACAAAACAAAACAAAAGGTTAATTTACCCACTTTTTATCATTATCAGAAACGTTCGTTATCAGAAAAAATGCCTCCAGTTCAGTACTTGGGTATGTTCGTTTACTCAACGTTTGTAAAATTTTGCAAATAATCAGCTTTACCTACTCTGTAACGTTCGTTGAATGTTCCAGCTTATTTCTGTTATTGACTATCAAACGGTTTTTGCGAGTCTTTCCAAATAATGTTTACAGGCCTTTGAAACATTCTTTTAGAGCGGCAAATCTTACTTATATCGCATGTTAAATAAACTTTAGTTGTCGACAATTCAACAAAAACAATCTGGTGGATAACGTCAGGACAGATTCAAAACAAACCAATTTATTATCGGTTGTTTGTGTAAATTTTATATTGACTAGTTTCTGCATTTTGCTTCCGAATTAATCTCACTAGGTATTTATGGGGTTTGTTGACTTTAAACGGGCTCAAGTGTCGGTTTTTAAATGTGCTTAAGCATTGAAATGAAAATACAAAAATACATTGCAACACAGTACATGCTCCAAAATTGGTAAATGTAAAAAATCGTATATCATTAAGGGAAATGTGGTTTTTCTAATAAACTGTTTTTTGGTTTTTGTGTGTTTGATTATAATGAATGAACGAGGAAGTGTTTACTAGAATTCTGCTAAGATAAACAGTGAAAAATATGTGTAAAGGGTTTCTAATGAAAGTTTATGGAGTTTCAGTGGCGCGAATTTCAGAATAACTTTCTAATATACAGGGTGGGTCATAAACCGATTCGAATCGGAAACGTAATTCGAATTTCAGTTAGGACTTGACAACGCAATTTCAAATAAATTTCACGGACTTGAAGATACAAGTCTCTTCTAAAGATTGTGAGACTTTCAAGTTTCTACTTGATTCTCATTGAAATTTACTATTAAAAAAAAAAAAAAAGTGTTTGAAAGTGGGCATTTTAGGCCATAATTGACTTGGTTAGAAAACATCCGAATTTTGCGCGATTTGAATAAAATTCCTGGCCATCAAGAATTCAAATCTTTTCCAACGATCTTGAAAATTTCAAGTGACTACTTGATTTTGATTAAAAGTTGCAATTTTTTAAAGGCAGGCGTGTAAGTGTTTGAATTTGGTCATTTTAAGCCAGAATCGACTTGGTTAGCAAAAACTCGAATTGTGCACGTTTTGTACAAAATTTATAGGACTTAAAAATACAGATCCTTTCCAATTATCTTGAAAATTTCAAGTGTCTAGTTCATCTTGATTGAAAGATACCATGTTTTAAAGGAAAGCGTGTCATTCTGTGAAATTGGTCCTTTTAATCCAGAATCGAGTTGATCCGCAAACATCCGTTTTTGCCCGATTATTTTAATGACATTTCATAGGCTTAATGATCCAAGTCTCTTTTGCTGATGGGAAAATCTTCAAGTTTCTACTTGATCTGGATTAAAAGGGAAAATTTGTTTAAAAAAATCGTGTAAGTGTGTGAAGTTGGTAATTTTAAACCAGAATTGACTTCGTTATCAAACATCCCGGTTTTCTGCGATTTTAATGAAGTTTCACAAAATTGAAGATTCAATTCTCCTCTATCGATGGTATAATTTTCAAGTTTCTACTTGATCTGGATTGAAATTTATAATTTTTTAAACCAAACGGTTGCAAGTGTGAAATTGGTCATTTTAAGGCAGCATCAGCATCAGGTCATTTTCAAGAATTTGTTTTTTATAATTTATTGGCCAATAACTTAGAAACGGTAAGTTTTAAGGTTGAAAAGCGTTAGATAAACCGGCTCTAAAATTTCATATTTTTCCGAACAATTCGAAAACCGTAATTTTTTCAGATAAAACATCTGAAATAAAATGGCATTAAATGTTGACGTTAAATCTGAAAATGGCAAAAAAAGTTCCATTTAAAAAACCATAACAAAATCTTGTAGAATGTTGAATCGCAGAATAAACGCAAAGAAACAAAGCAAAAATGATGAAAATTGCATCATTTCTGCTGCTGGTAAAATGTTTGTTTGCCACGCTTGATGACTTCCTCTACCGGGTGATTCAAAGTTCAAATTCAGTAGCTCCAAAGATTTAAAACCCACAATCGTTAAGGCCCCTATCAGTTTGATTCTCTGGGGTTTTTCAAATCAGGATTAGCCAAATTCATGAGTTTTATTGGAATTTTTGCAAGCAAGCAAATTTTACTAATTTATAATTATAATAGGTTTTCGCATTGATCGATCATCAGAAGGTTGACAAGTTGTGGGCATTTAGCATAAAGTGGTTTGATCGCATACTAAATATGGTTTTACTTGCAATTGGTTTTACCAAAAAATTGATGAGCCATTGATGCGTCTTAACGGGACTCTACCAAGAATGTGAGGCTGGCTTGTAATTTTTTTCACTTACATCGATTTTCAAACAATTATAATGATGAAAAAGAACAGAGATAAATGACCTGATCGAGTCCCTCTTGGAGTTTCTTTTATTTAAATTTAAAACACCATTATGATTGATGATCTGGACCGGTATACAATAATAAACTATTTTTGATCATTATTTTTTTTTCATCTGCTTAGTGCTGTTGGAGCTCACTGCTCAATGTCCGGGCACAAACTCTTCGAGTAAATCTGGGTGTGTTCAAATTCGTTGTAGGCACATTCTTTTAGGTCAAAACGCGTAATTTCTTCATCCAATTAGTTATTCAAGTGGCGAGTTTTAATAAATATTTCCGCTCGTTCATATACCATCTATCTATGTACATAGTATGTGACATTATTTGCGGCAATCAAGTATGCTGTGTAGGTCTGTTGAAAAACAATTGAAGAAAGTTGCAGTTTCGACAAAATTCCAAAGTGGAAACGTCCGCAGAAAATTTAATTGTTTTTTGTTTCGCGCAGATTTTGCAATCGGGTTCACGCGGCCAATTAGCGTAAGATTTCGTGCCATTTAAGGGTTTATGATACGGTTTGAATGTGAAACTGCTTGGGTTATTCGCGCTTTTAGGCCACGGTGCCAAAGTGCTTTAAAACGTTTCGCTAGCTGGAGTGGCCGGCATCATCAGGGGTGGGTTTTTCGGGTTTTAAGGCCGTGGTGGACGTTCAGAAGTTCAATAATTATTTATAAAGCAATTAATGGCTCAAATTAAACGAAACTTTCACCATATTTGCCTAGAAGCTTTCGTTATTGATTGTTGAAAAACGCATTTCGATATCTGAATGCGTTCTTCCGGAATCAGCTTCAGAAGCGCCTGGTTTAAAAATTGAACCCCACCCAAAAACGTGCAAAGTTTAAGATTTAATCATGCAGGAACCAGTTGTTCAACTGAACTTAGGTTCATACCACGTATGCCTTGAAGCTTTGTTTACTGACTTCTCTAAGACGAATTTCAATATCTGGAGTGGTTCTTCGGAACCAGGCCTCAAAAAACATGGTGCCAAAATGAAAACTTGCTCAAAAAACATCCAAGTTCAGGAATTAATTCTGGATAACTTAGTTGCTGGAATTAAACAGTGGTCAAACTAGAAATGCTTTCAGCCTTTGTTGATCGATTTCTGAGTTACGCATTCCGGTATCGGAACCTGTTATTCAAGCACGAGCGTCAGAAGAAAATGCTGCAAAAATGAGAACCCGCCCAAAAATGTTCAAAGTTTAAAATTTAATTCTGAAGAAACCACTGCCTCGGCGGAAACGAAAATTACACCACAAATACACTGAAGCTTAATTTTTCGAGTTCTGGAACCCGCATTTGGATCTCTGGACTAGTTGTTTAGAAGCGAGCCTTAGAAGAGCTGCAAACAAAACGTAAAAACCGCACATAAAAAGTCGAAATTTCTGCAATTATTTATGAAGCAACCA